AAAACAGCAAATTCAGGTGACCTCTTAGGAAACACGCAACTAAAACTGTCTTTCTATGACTGGTGCATTTCGATCCTCTCGTCAAAAAAATGTCAGACGCTAATCATCTTAGCGGACCTCCTAGGAAACGAAAGTTTACTTCCACGGGTTCAAAAGATCATTGTTTGTGATTTGTGATTGGTGGATTTCGATCCGTGTTGTGAGTTTCTGTGTTTCAAGGTTCGATTGTGACCAAAACCCGACGTTAACATTCGAAATATTTTTGATAGATTTCATCCCTGGACTTCAGACTTCCAAATTTCGATGAGGCAAAAATACTGAAGATTCAGATTAACTTTTGAGCTCTTAAAAGTGCGATAAAGTGCCGTGTGCTAGCAGAGCTTTCTTTCCCACATGCCTCTTACGTTGTACAAGACGTTCGTATGGCAGACATTCGCCTCGCCTCGCCTCGCCTCGCTTGTTTACTTGCCTTGTCTACGTTAGCACGTATTGCGTGCCTATTGAACATTTGCGTCAAAACAATTCCTTCCCATTACTCTATTTGGGCCACGCCCAAATAACAGGCAATATTCTCAGCACAAAAAAAGGATCAGATAACACGAAGAGATAACAAAAGCTTGACACGAAAAATACAGTCGCTTCTGTTGGAAAATCTAGTGTTGGGGAAAAAATCTAACCAGCAAACAAAAAAAATGAGAACAAACACGAATTACAAGCCTAAAGCAAACGACAAAGGAAAAGAAAACAACGCCGTTTTTTTCGAAACCTGGCCGAGTTCAGTATAAAAAAATGAACTAAAATTCCGAAGTGCCGTACATCGCATGTCCTTTGAAACATTTCAGATGGCCCAGCGAATCATTCTAAGTTTCAATCGGATAACAAAAAACCTCGGGAAATTTGAAAGGAGGTTAAATTATTAAACTGTGCAAATATTTATCTATAATGTGAAACCGAACCGACAGTAGATTTGTAGCTGGACTTCCTCTGCAAAGCTGATTTTATTCTTTCAAGACACTTCACACTTTACATACCATAAAATTCCGAAAATAAGCCCCGGCGCTTATATTTTTTAAAGGCCCTTTTTGAGGGGCTTATTTTTGGAGGGTCTTATATTCGGAGGGGCTTATCTACGGAGGGAAATTTGCGTTTCAAAATTGATTCGGCTAGCCATATAGTTGGAAGTAAATTTACCGTTTTTGCTTTGTTATACTTTGTATTTGAGGGCAGTTTTTCAAGTACAAGCCCCCGGGGGGCATATATTTGTAGGGGCGATTTAACGGAGGGTTTTTTGAGTTACCGGTCTGAGGGGCTTATATTTGGAGGGGCTTATACATGGCGGGGCCAGGAGATGGGCTCCTGGCGGGGCCTATTCTCGGAATTTTACGGTATCAGGTTTGTAAAGCCACCAGACTGAATCTGAGAACTGCCTCTCCTCCGGAACCTTATAAAGTGTTAAATGCATAACATCTTTTCAAGAAAATAATCCTTGCAACAAGAAGGGACCAAGAAACGCTCAAATGAGGAAAAAAAGGAATTTTATTCCTAAGCAAAATACGCATGATTTGCTCGTTGGCGCTCTATCGATAGGTATACCTAGTAATAACCTTTATTTTAAGAGGGTGACACAATTACTATGAAACGTATTCTCCCTAGTGGCCCTCTAAAAAAATTGATAATAATAAATCACAGCAATCATGATAAAAAACCTATTATAACATAGCTAGAAAATTCGCCTAATCAAATTCAATAGCGCGAGCGTGCTTCATATTCCTATTGAGCACGCTGATGACGTCAATAAACTATTCGTAATTCCTCGAGTTGTTGTGAGCTTAGCGATCCTGAATCTCCTGAGTGCATCCATAACTCAGCAATGGACAATGACGCGTTTACCATGTGTTTTATAAGGAAATTTGAGAGGAAACGTTTGAATTTGTTAACCGATAGTAGTGAAAAGAGGTGAGTGTTGTTGTTGTTGTGATCTCCGCGAGCTGTGCGGGCTATGGCGTGAGATCATTCTTTGCAAAGTTGTTTTCTCTCAATGGCAATTTTTCGGTAAATTAATAGTTTTCCGGCACCTAAATATGGATTTTACAATCATTTTAGAGTACACTTTCTCTCAGTTTCAGGATAAAAACACAAGATTAACTGTGAGGAAAAAAAATATATAGTCACGTAAACATTGACGCGTACTGCTTTGAGCGCGCCCAACAATAATAAAATTTTAAGTTAACTGTTGCATTGACCGCTTTGATAATGTTATAAAACAATTAGTTCATGCTGCAGCTGTGCGTATGTCGAGATATTGAGCACTTGGGAAGTTTGGAGAGCACTCAAGAGGCTAGAGTTGCACTCGGCTGCGCCTCGTGCAACTCTTACGCCTCTTTCGTGCTCTCCAAACTTCCCGCGTGCTCAATATCTCGACATACGCACGCTGACGCATGAACTAATTGTTAATTTACAAATAGTAATTACAATAAAAGATCTTATCTAGTATTCTCTCTCCCTAGTGGCCCTCTAAAAACAAACAAAACTGATAATAATATAATTACAACACTCCATTTATCACAGACGCCGAACCTTGTTCCAAAGGTAACTTGGCAGGATAGAGTTTCTTGATGGCTGCGCAAAATTTATCAGGAAAATCAGCACAATCGTTAAGATCTCGATTGTACCTGATTTTACATTTTTTAACGAGACTCTGTTGCGTTACCTTTTCAAGGAGACCAATGGTTTTCCTGATTAGTTCGGGGGACTCAGTTCCTGAGCAAAACATCCCTGAGATTCAACTCAGAAGTTGTGTTTTCACATTTTATTACTATAAGATATTGCTGTTATATTTGTTAAAAAATAAGCTCGCCTGAAAATTTTGGTATCAATAAAGCCAAAAGGGCTCCTAGAATTTTCTAATGAAAATACGGCTACTCGAACTTTTGACCGGACCCATGCACATGGGTAGCTAACGGTTTCGGATGAGATGAAGAAAGAAAAAAATGAACGTATCAAACTTTGGCTATTGTTCAAGTTGATTTTTGGAAGACAGTAGTGCTTTTGTTTCTTACATTCTTTTGTGTTTCGATAAGCGGCGTTCGACCTTTAATCGGGTATGATCGGTAAATTTTCGGTGTGACATTTTTTTAGTTAGTAGTGGTCTAGTGGGGAAAAATTTTAAGCGCGACACAAAACGATCAAACACGGCTGGTTGACAAGAGAGATCGCACAGTGAATTAAGCATTCCATTCAGTTCAGCAATCCATTCAGTTCATGAAGCCCGCGTAAAATAACAGCTTCAGTTATTGTAGCTGGGAACTTCAAATTTTGTTTGCGCAGAAATCCGTCTAATAATAATTTACGGTCAGATATCGACAGAAACGCTTATATTAACTGAAAGGCATCACATGGTCCTGTTCGAGGCTTTGTCTGCTTTGTTCCTCTTTCACCATACACGTCCATGTACCACAGCGTACAAGCCGAAATTTTTAGCTCGCGTACATATTTTCAGGACAATATTCTGGTGCCTTAACCTTTTATTCTCAGAATAACTTGTTGAACGTTTGAAAGTTTAGAATTCTAGTTGAGAGTCGGAATTGGTATCAAAAGGTTGACTTTTATCGAACCTTTCCTTGTTTGAGTGACTTCATTGTTTTCAAACGTAACTGACTGACACCATTACTTTTTTTTTCGCGTGCGCCGAAATCACTGTGGAGAATGGATTGCCTAAACTTGGTTTTTTGCTGATGACGTTTAAACACGATTGAGGGATTTTTCCTGACATAAGAAGACACACGGAATAAAGTCAGAAATAACTTAAGTCTACGGCGACGTGACGTGACGACTAATTCAAAGTTCCCCTACGACATCCGAACAGATAAATAGCTCCAAATTAACCTAGCAAACGCTTCCAAGGCACAGAGAAAACCATTTGACACACTTCTGACGTATTTGGAAACATTCAGTCGCTGGATGCACCTAATTAATAGCTGGTGTTCTAACGTAGAAAAAGGTGCATTGACTGCAAAATAATTTGTACACGAAGAGTTCTTTATATGCAGGGGCACCCAATGGATCTGTTCCTCAAAATATCTGTTCTTCCAGCAATTTTTTGCCGGCTGGGAGATGTGGAAGTAATGATATGTCATTGGAAGGAAAGTATTGCTGGGTGTCAGAGAGAATTTGACGTCTGGAATAGCTGCTATGAGCTATGTCAGAAACCTCTCCCCCATCCCCGCCCCCCTTTCCTATTGCCACCCACCGTTCCCCCTCCCTGAAGGGCTGAATTTTGCCCTCTGACCACACCCGAACTGGCCATTAATGTCAGGACATACGCCTGCTGGGAAACTTCCGAGTAAGTCAGGTTGCAGGTTGTAGGTGCACCTTGCTGGCTGGGAACTCTTCCATTAGTCTTTCTAAGAGTGAGGAACAGATAAATATTTCCCAGCAATCTCCCAAAATGCTTAAAATGGCTTCAGAAAGCTTTATTCATTCTTTGTTGTTAGTGTTAGGTCTTTTTCTCAAAATTTCCCGTTGGGTACCCCTGTATATGCGCTTCAGAATTATGACAAGTGTGGAGGAAGAGGAGAGCTACTTCGTAGGTACGCAATTCAAGTGGTATTTTTTTTCTTCCTTTTTCTGTTTTAATCAGATCTCAGGGGCACCAAACGATTTTCTCCAAAAGACATCGAAGACACTTTACCCAGAGTATTTTAAGTTCTCTAGAAATACATTCTAAGCGGCGCTATCAAAAATTGTATCTGTTCCGTCATCCTTGAGCAACTTGAGTCTTTTCGAATTCCAAGTGCTTCAGTATTAAAAGTAAAATGAAGTAAAATGTGAAAATTAAACTTCAGATAATCGTAGGAAATCTATTAGATATGCTTCGAAAATCGCACACGGTGATCTAGAAATCTTTAGCCGTCCTCAAGCTATAGAAATTCTAGGCAAAGCTTCAGTCGTTGGGTTCCCATGAGATCTGTTCAAGAATGCTGAGTTACAGAACGCCCAATCTATGCCATTATCAGAACCCTTCCCCCGTCATAATCGGATACTAAAATACGACCATCAGCCATAGTGGTTATACCTTCTGGTCCTTGAAGGTCCGAAACAGTTTTACCAGTATACTGGCCTTCAATGGTAAACTGCTGAACACGACCAAGGCCATAGTCTGTCACGAGAAGATTTTCATGATGGTCCACGCACAATCCCCAGGGTTTTCTGAACTGTCCGTCTTCCTTGCCTTTTTCTCCAATCTTGCGCAGAAACTTTCCAGTAGAATCAAACACTTTCAAACAGCCGTTCTTGCTGTCAGATACGATCAACATATTTTTGTAGAAGACACAGCCTTTCGGAAAGTTTAGTTTTTCAGGGCCACTATCCCCAAAGTTAAACATAGGCGTACCATCCTTTGCAAACACTTGAACTCGGTTGTTGTAATCCTCGGCCACGACAATTTGTCCTTGGTCATCCAAACAAACACTAACCGGATCCCTAAACTCTCCATTTCCTGTTCCGTACCGCCCAAAGCTGTTCACATAAGTTCCGGTGCAGATATTGAATTGCTGTATTCGGCGATTCGATTCTTCAGCAACCAGAATTTCATCATCGTTCAAGAATGTTACGTCAACTGGGTAGTCTAGCTGTCCAAGATTCTTTCCATAGCAACCCAGTTGTCGTTTAAACTTCCCCTCTTTATCAAATAGCAAAATACAGTGCATGTCATAGTCTGCTACGGCTATTTGTCCTTTCCCATTCACAGAAATTCCAGTTGGTTCTTTAACGATCTGATTTCCTAGGTCTAATTCGCCTTTGAGTTCAATTCGTCGTTCCCGTACTACGATGTTAAAGGGACTCTTAGCTAGACTCTCACCATTTATTTTTGCTGTGATCTGGAAAGCACCCGGCAATTTGGGAACAAATTTTACGTGGAATCTTCCGTCTGGGTCCTCGTTAATGGTCAAACCTGTCACGTGGCCAGCGGGCTCCACCATCACTTCAACACTGTCCTCATGTCTTTTGTTACTAAATTGTCCATCGTCTGTTATTGGAGAAATTGAAATATCTGCTTCAACTCCGGCTTGGAAAGCTTGTTCCAGTCCTTCTATCTTTGAGCGGTTTGCGTCGGTCTCGCTAATTCTTACGAATCCAAGGCTCAATGTATCTAGTTCACTGGTCGGCACAAACTTTACGTAAGAAGTAACTGGCACTGCAGGAATTTTAGATCTGTGGAGCGCTTCAAATCGTTTCTCTAAACTCCCTTTGCTGCTTCCCATTAAATCAGTCCAAGAACTGCTTTGAGCCAGGGTAGTGGCAAACTCTGTTGCTTGATCGATCTGTCTTGTTAACATCTCAACCTCTTTCTTTGTCGCGTCTAATTTTTCCATTCTCGATACGCCTGTATTCTCGAGAACATTGATTGCCTCGAGTTCGTACTCTTGCAACCCAAGGATCATTTGCCAAGTTACTCGAGACACTTCTTGTTTTGCAGCGGCGATGTTAGTTTGAAGGTTCACAGCTGTGTCCTCAAGTTGACGAATAACATCGCGGCAGACTTGGCTCTTTTGCCCCATCGACTTAGCTTCCGCCAAAATTTTAGCTTTTTCAACGTCTGCTGCCTTCTCAAGCGGCTCAACTTGGTGATTCCTGTGGTCCGTGTTAATGCAAATATGGCAAATGCAAACCTCACAGGGGCGACAGTAAAATCTCGTTACCTCTCTCTCGTGGTATTTCTCGGTGCAAAATGCGTTTCTTTTCAGCAAGGCTTCGTAATCGTCTACCTGAAACTGTTTGACTGGCGTCACCTTGTGCCCTTGAAACGCAGCTGTTTGAAACAACTCATGGGCATTCGCGCAACCACTGCACAGCAATTTCTCGCATTCAAAACAATAACTCACTTTCGGTCCCTCAGCGCTCTTTTTCTTGCAAATTCCGCCACTGACTTCACCACTATCACCACTTTTTTGAACAGTGAGTAGGCTGAGCAAGCTGTTATGAAGAAAACTGGTCGGTAGCTGATCGAATCTGTTTCCTTCGGGGATGGAAATTTGTGTTTGGCATTCGGGGCAGCGAAACTGACCATCTCTTTGAGTCAAAAGCGCGTGTTTCTTCAGACATTCACTGCAGAAAGTGTGCAGACAGGCTATGGTTTTCGGCTCGGTGAAATTCTCCAAGCAAATTGAACATTCAACATATTTTTTGAGATTATTTAACAAAAACTCCATTGTTCAGTGAGGCAAGAGTCGTAATTCGCGTTATCGACAGCGTCTTTTTAGAGTTTTTTTGCACAGAGGTCGAGAACAATAATTTTTCCAAGTTAAGAGGTTGACAGCCAATCAGAGTCTTGTTAAAAATAAAACCGAAGTTGACGTCATCCGCTAGAATCTTCTGGGAGAGCTCGAAGGGTGTTCATTAAGAATTCCTCAGCTAATTGCACACTTTTTGGCTCATCAATTAAAAATGGACGCAAAGTTAAGCGAAAAGGGAACGTCGTGTTTCTTTTGCGGGCGATTTTTTATTCTTTGGAAAGGTAAGTTCTATGAATATTTTTCTTTTTTCGCATTTGGGAACTTGTCTGACTTGTATGCAAATTTCTATTAAGTTCTCCTTGTTATTTCGAGTGCCAATTGTCAGGTCAGAACTGCGAGTTTTCCTTTGTTATGCAAAATTACCCAGTTCGGAAAACATTTTTTGGCTCAATATACACCTAATTGCAATAACGTTGTCTTAGGGCCTGTTTACATGGAGTGGGGGACCCCGGTCTAGTGGGGTTGGTTTCTTTTGTTTTCACGTTCTGGCGGACACAAAACAAAAGAAACCTACCCCTCTAGACCGGGGTCCCCCACTCCATGTAAACAGGGTCTTAGAAAAATGACAAAAGGAAAAAAGCCAAATAGGAATTAAATAGGCTAACTAAGCCACATTCTTATGGTGGATTCATTTGCAGCCGTTGCATTTCCCCGCTTGAATTTTCAGTTTTATTGTCTTAAAGTTTAAAACAATAGCAAATTCTAACAGGCAAATACGACGTCGATGTGCGGACGCTGCCAATGAATTCATTAGGCTTATCACACAAATTAATTCCTATTTGGCTTTTTCCCTTTTTTCATTTTCCTATGACAACGTTTTTGCAATTATTAGGTGTATAAAGTCAACAGTAGCCGAGATTCCTTTGAACCATATAACTCTCAAGAACTGTGTTCTCTGGCAAGGGTATAACTTCTTTCGACTAGAAAGTGAACATATGCTGTATTTAGGATAAATGAAAGGGATGGCTTCCAAACAAAATGTAATTCTACCCGAATCGCTTCACCTTCCATTTCGATCTGTGATCATGATCAATTCCGCCAAGGTCTGAGCCAAAGTAAGTCAACAAAATAAATGCATTCTTCGCGGTGAACACATTTTGCCTCTTCGGTGGATCCGAGAAAAAAATCAACCATAAGTCAAAAATGGAATTTTGTCCGCTTCATTGCTCTTATCCTCGTTTTAAGCGCTTTTGTAAAGCCAATCAAACCTCAAAGAAACGTTTCCAACTTAGCGGCGCTCAGGGTGTCCAGCGCCATGGATGCTAAAAAAAAATAGGAAAATAGGAAACTCAGGATAGAGAAAATAGGAAAAATAGGAAACTTTGTGTTAAAAAATAGAAGAAAAATAGGAAAATCAATACTACTTTCGTCCACAAAGGTTACGAGTCCTCTGCTTCTACGTTCGCAGCATTTAGATCAACTTTCGCGGCTTAGAAGGAGTGATCAGTATTTAAACGTTTAGTTTATTGGCTCAGTTACGCTGTAATCAGAATAATATGCTTGATTACAGGTCGAGCGTGGTTCTATAATCAAAGGTTATCATATGCAAATTCCCTTCAGGTTAGTTGGCCGCAAATCTTTGAAAAGCTTCGAAGAATGAAATTTCTTAGGATAGAAATTTCTTACGATTGCGTTGTTATTGAAGAATATTGAACTAAGACTAAAAATTCCGATGGAAAGCTTTCCTTTCCTTTCCCTCCTGCAATCGATAGCTGGTTGAGAATATGCTTGTTTGAATCAAAAGACCACATAGTTTTAGTAAGTTACGGAACCAAGCTTTTAGCTGCTTTTAGCGGTGTACACAAAATGACAATGATCTGTTTGGTATTAGATTGTAAGTGTGTCATGGTTAAGTTCTAAGAAGAATGTAACACTCTGCTTAGCTAAAACTGCCAGACCGGTTTCGTAATCAAAATATTACATCCGCGCGGTTAACTCAATGGGATAAGCTCCGGTCTGCTGAGCGGGAGGCCGTAGGTTCAAACCCCAGCTGGACCAACACACAGGGTCTTCAGTAAAATAACTGCGGAGAAAGTGCTGCCTTTGTAATAACATCTCCAAACGGTTAGACTTTCTGGTCTTCTCGGATAAGGACGATAAACCGTAGGCCCCGTCTCACAAGCCCTTGCACATGTAATAAATCTGTGGGACGTTAAAGAACCCACACACTCTTCGTAAACAGTAGGGCACGTAGTGCCCGGTGTAGTGGTCTATCTCAATCTCACACTCATGTATGGGGGCATCAGTACTCATTCCTTCATTACTTGTAAACTGCACCTTAAGCAGTCTGGCAAAGTCCCTAACCAGTGTTGTAAATTATTTCTGAAAAGCCCTGAGAGGAGTTGATAATAAGATATCTACAATTTACAATCTACAATCATTCCTCAGTTGCTTAGGAATAGCTGTTAACAATTAAAGGGCTCACCAAGAGAGCTAGTGCCGTAAACTAAACTTGAGTCTGTTCTTTTCATGTAGCATCCAGAATCCAGCTAGTGACTGGTTCTTTAAACAAGAAGTTGATTATTGGATGATTAATCTGACCTGTGTTGCGAGAGGACAACTTGATACTGTTTTCAGTTTCAAAGATGAACATAAAAGCGAGCAAGACTTCAAAATAACATACTTGAACAACTGAAGTACAGATACTGAAATGCAGTTTCAGTGGGCTATGCACAATATTATTCAATAGTCATGAGAACTACATCCTTGTATAACACTACATAAAACAGCCTGAATTTCATCCGATTGCTTCCAGTCGTTTTCTCCTCTCAGCGGGAGTAATAACGACTCGAAGTAATCGGATGAAATTCAGGCTATACATACAATACATGTAAGTGCACTAGAAAATCATACAAAAAGTAGCAACATAACAAAGCTGTTAACAGAACTCAAAAAGGCAATAGAGGTCATGGAAAGAACAAATGTAGCTATTAGTTTTGCTAATATTAGAACATCAAAGTCAACCTTCTACTTGCTTTATGATAAATCTCACTCTAAAACACATACAACTATAATTACATTTTCAGTTCTGTTACAAATTTTGGCTTCACAAGCTAAAAAATAGGAAAAATAGGAGGTTTTAGTTAAAAAATAGCAGAAAATAAGAAAAAATAGGAACTGGACACCCTGGGTGCTCATAAGTGATAAGCCGCCTCAACCGATCAGCAGACCGATGGTCCAAACCTTTAACATCAACAACTGGGGTTTTGGAATAATTCAGACAGTGTCTGTTATCGGAGGCTTAATGTTTTAACTGAAGTTATGATATGACCCCATAATTTTCAGGACATATATGTCCCCAAGACGTTTGGGTTCGCTGCGGTAAATTCAGTTTCCTCATCATCGACATTCCAACCCTGAAATGGAGCGATGCTCGACGAACACGTCAGAAGCTCGGAGGAGACCTCGCTATAATAAAATCAGCTGCTGAGAATAACTTCGTATTCGGCTTAACAATAATAATAATAAAACGGAAAACTGTCACAGTTTGGGGTGTGTGGTTCGGCTTGGCCCGCAAAGCCGACACTAGGTTCTACTGGAATGATGACACTCCAGTGGCGAAAGGATACACGGCTTGGGCTACTGGAGAATCAAACAGTGTTAAAGAAAAGTGTGCGCACTTGTATGGCACAGGAAACAGAGCCGGCAACTGGAATGACATACTGCGATATCAGTCCAACGTATTGGACGAATGCCCCAGTTATTCTTTGCAAGAAAAAAGCAAGCTAAGTGACTTACATCCCTTGATTCAGAGTCCTGTAATTGCAAGCAGATTTAAATTTTTGGAGCGCTCAGATTTGTTGATCAGTTTAAAATAAATTACACCGAAGATTATAATTAAAATCAAAACAGAGTTAATCATCTCTCGCAATGGAAAATAAAGGAGAAAAATAATCAGTAGCTACTTCTGTGAAATGCCGAAAAGAAGAGACCTTTTGTGTAGAACTGCACTTTGAAGAGCGAGTCTTTGGTCAGGTGGTTTATGTGAAGTAGAAAATGAACTGCTTCATGAAAAAACGTTCAGTTTCAAACGAGGTGATTTTTGCCCCTTGAATGAATGAAGTCTTGACACTGCCTTACCCCAGCTTCCTTCGTACTAAAGTTAAAGTGGGAAACCATTTATTTATTCCCAGTGAAAACTACCGTCAAAGGAACGTAAATTTTAAAAACCAAAGTCTCATTAATTACCACACAGTAATTTAGTGGGGTTAATGTAACTCCTTACAGTGGAGTTATTTTTGGGGAGAGTTATTTTGACTCCAAAAAGGAGTTAAAGAACTCTTTTTCAGGTGTAAAACTCACCCCAGTTGTTGAGGAGTTAAAATAACCCCCAAAAAGGAGTTGTCCTGTACTTGTAATTTTTACTCCACTTTCAGAGTTAAAGTAACTCCAAAAATGAGTAAAAAAAAACCCATGTAAGGAGTAAAAATAACTCATTTTCGGAGTTATTTTAACTCGAATCCAGACTGGGAGTTAAAAGACCTTTTTTTTAGGACTAAAAATAATCCCAAATTTGGAATTAAATTAGGAGTTAGAGTAACCCCATAAAAGGGGTACCAATTTTTACTCCATTAGTTTGGTACACAAACTAGCGACTCGAGAAAATCAGTTATGATTCATTTTTATGTTCGAAGGTCCTACAATTTGTATACCCTTGTATATATTTTCCGTCAATTATCCAACCTACAAAAAGGTATAGCCTGATTGTCTTTTTCTTCTCGATGGTCACTTAGGTTTTTTTATCGGTACTAATGACAGAATTATCGTTTTTAAATAAGGAGGGGGAAAGGGTGTGGGTGAAAAACCCAATCATTACCTTAGTCAGATGAACACACAAATACAACAAATAAGGAGCCGTTTTTTTCCCAATATATTAGGCAAATGTCTATAAAATAGATCCGTTTTGGTACAATTCAGGTTATCGAGGCCTGTGATCAGGCAATTAACACATTACTACTCAGGACGTAATTTTCAATCCAGTTTTTTCAAAATAAAGGATAGAAAAGGGGGGAAGGGAAGTTGAACAAATAGACGCATATGCCCTCTGAGACGTACCCCAACGTACCCCACTAGCCAAGGCTTCTTCGTCTTTCCAGTTGCCTTATAGAATGCTGCGATTGTTTCAGTCTGGCTGTTTCACGACCCCATTCCATTATTGACAATCTGATATTAGATAAAACGTCCCTCCATGCAAATTATATCTGCGGTTTTTTCCTTGTACGTGTCTTGAAACTGAGACAATTCGCGGAATTGTTTCGGATCGGTGACAGGATGAAAAAGAACTTTCAATTAATGTTTTTTACTATCGATTTCAGTTCTCTTGGAGGCTCTTACAAGATAACTTTGGGTGCCACTTGCAAAGAAATCTTAAACATGCTCGTCGTGTTTCTTTTGTAGCCGATTTTCATTATCCAGAAAGGAAAGCTCTAAAAATATTTTTCGTATTTGGTAACTTGTCTGTCTTGTATGCAAATTTTCAGTAAGTTTTCCTGATTACATGGGGTGCCAAATGACAGGGTAGAAGCGTGTTTTACTTTGTTATGCTAAATTGCCATGCCAAGTTCAGGAAACATTTTTCGGATCAATATATCTGGAATAAATTTGTCTCTTCAGCTCTAATGTTCTCTGGTAAAAACGCAAACATTTCGGTCAATAAACTTTGATAAACATTGCTTTCATAATTTCTTCCCAATTTTCGTAATGCGTTTCCTCGGCTTTTCTTCACCACTTAGTTCTTCTTCTTCTTCTTTTGTGGTTACAGACGGCTTTTTCCAACAAACTTAGATTGTGTTTCGAAATTCAAATTGTATTTTTATATATTTTAAAGTGTTGGCACATACTGTTAAACTAAACAGCTCTCTATCAATTAATTTATTTCACGGTCTGTGAACATCGACCTCTACTCTACGATTATGCAGACCGTCATCCACTAATAAAAATTTAATGAAATTTAGGTTGATCCTTGAATGAATGTTGACTTTGTTTAGCTACAAGCCTTCCTACCTTTCCGATAATGAAAATTACGCTGAGTAAATAGTTTGAATATTAAAAGAAAATTTACAAATAAAAAAAGAAAGAAAAACAACACAAAAATGAATAGTCATATCAAAGAAACCTCAATTTAAGACACGACGTTAACTCTCATTTCTTGCCCTAAAGTTGAAGTTACCCGAGTATGAAGGAAAGATGTGATTTAATTTGCCAAATGAGGCAAAACGTTCACAGAGGGAGTTAAGAGCGTATAGTTACAATAAAGATTTTTCTCGCGAAATGTTCCCCAGAGGGCTTCCAAAAGGCAGCCTTTTAGTACGGAAACCCGAATGTAATGGACAGTTTCGTTTGTCCCCAACCAAAAGCTCACATCTTTTCTTTTGAATTAATCCGCTTAATATGGACAACGGACACTTTTCTGTGCCCCGAATCACAAACTCTCATATATCGTCAACCCCACTTTACGGACACTGGGTATTTGTGCACTGCTATCTTTATATGTGCGTTAATTGTAAACATTGTATCCTGTTCAAGTAATCAAAGCTTTCTACGGGTTAGTACGATTTTATTGGAGACTCAACGGCAAGCGGCAAACGTGAATTTGTACCACGCGAACAAGTTTCCCCATTTTTTTGTCGTTTACTGTTCATTATAACTACACGGAAATCATTAGTTTCATGTCAGCTTTATCCATGAGAATTGCTTTAAGCCGCTTTTATCAGCTCATTTTCTATTTTGAGAAATTCTCATCTTGAATCTGACGTTTGCCGTATGCCGTGAAAGTGACTCTAAATCGTGACGAGTTTGATATTTCGGGATTTTGATCAGTCCGTCTATCTTCCGGTGTTTGACACCTTATGCTGTGGTCGTTTTATAACGTTTTCTGCCTTCTATTACAAGTTTCACTTCCTTAACTTTTTATAATTATTTCATTTTCATTCCAGTCAGTTGAGCCCCGTTCTACTGGCACCCGTATATAAGGGACGGTGTCCCGAGTCACAAAATCTCAGACATATATTTTCAAACCCGCTTTATGGACACAGTTTATCTGCGCGCTGTCCATGACTGAATATCTTACCAGAGAAAACCTAGTATTATAGAAATAGCGAATTACCCTTAAAAGTTCTATCTTATGTTCAGTCCACCTGACTGAGGGGCAAACTAAAGGCGTCAATACAAATTTAAGTCACAGAGTCCATTGTTGGTCAAGAGGTTGTTTTAGTCCGAGACTATGATAACTGATCGTGACGTTTCTGTACTAATATATAGATTTAGCCAGGGCTAAAAGCGAAGCTCCAATTTTAATAAATTTATAATTTAAATCAAACAATAAACTTTTAATCCACAAATCATTTAACTTAAGGGCACATTCATGTGACTTTTGAGGGAAAGGCTAAGCTGGCTAAGTTATTTTAGAGTGAAACATCTTACATCGAATATGTTATATATTCCCAAAAAATAGCAAACATCTTCGATCACATTCAAGATCACAGTAGATTAGGCCTCGAAAGCAAATTCTTGGAAAACAAATCACGCCAAATTTTTTTGCTTTCGACAGGTTTACTTTACAAATTCTTGCCAACAAATCTGGGGGTGTTTAAACCAACCTTTTATAATTTTTATACACCACATTTGAGGTGAAACAGTACTATTTATCATACAGAGCTCGGACAGAATGCGGTATTTCACAATTTTCACTCAGTCAATATTCAGCAAGAGCCAAACCGTTCAAAAATTTCAGAAAATTTCCAAAATCACCCATACGGCCAGCTGGTTCTCGTTTCTATAGTGCGAGCTGTCAGTGTGGTCGAGTGTTTGAATGAACTTTAACAGAGTTACGCTTCAACATAATAGCGAATTTATTATTATTTGTTTTGTTATTTAATGGTTTTAGTTATAACGATGTGTAATCTTATAAAGCGTTTGATACGCGCGACATTTTTGAGTACTCCTGCAAGCGATGGTCATGAACGATGAAAACAAACGGCACGGACAAGCGATTAAAATTGCAAGAGAAACTACTAACAATCAAAAAAAGAGATATAATTCCGTGAAACATTTACAGAGACAACAATTTTCATTCACGAAGACAAGTATTAAAGTGTCTCTAAAAATCCTGAGTCTTTAAGCGTAAAGCATAAGTTTATGTTTTAGCCGGCTTCCCAGCACGGTGTTTACTGTTTTCGAAGGTGAACTCCTCGAAGCAAGAAAATCGCTCAAAGTTTTCTTTCTACAGCCAAATTTATAACTAAATATCCTTCGGAACGTTTTCTTTCTATTTGTGGTGAGCAAATATATCTGAAGGCTTTTTAAAGTTCTGTAAGCTTATATCAAACCTGATACTAGGTCAGATCATTGACTCAAATCCTGCAAACGTGCATAAACTTGCCGCAAAAACTGTCAGCGTGAACTGTGGAAGACTTCATGAAACACAAACATCAAATACAATAATTACTTAGGCTTACCATTCGAGATTCAGTTCCTGAAAGCTATCAAGGGAGGCCACAGTTGCTTGAGACTTTTAAACCCTCTTTCGCATTAAGCAAGGTGAAAAACGAATACGATGCCATCCGAAATCGAATTACCGAATTTTGACAAGCGACGCATTTCTCAACCAAAACCCAGTAAACAAACCAGCCATGAATAACAGAAGACTCTTGATAGCAGCTGTATTTCATTTTGTACCTCCAGAGGAAAAAGACAGTTAAAAACTTCACAAGTTGACACAAAGCTCTGTCAGCTTCAGCTGTCAAAGTAAACTACTTTCAAGATGCTGCAAAATTTTTCCGCATAAACTCACCTGTCAAACTTTGACCAATCAGAGTATAAAAATTGGACGTAGAGCGTGACCAACGCGAGACCATGGTAAGATAAGGTCTTCCCCGCCTGTACTTTTAAAAAAACTGGATGAATTTTCGAATTCGCTTCCGAGGTCAGTTTGAAATCAAAATCCTAATAGTGCGGGGCCATAGTGACATAAACACAACATATTTGATATGAATCCTTGGAAAAAATAAACTTGAGCCTGCGATCATTTGAAACTGGTAATTTGTCAGCGGATAACTTTAAAAAATACTCGACCTCGATGGGTCGACACTTGAGCCCGCGGTACGGTCAGGTGATACTTGTCAGCGGACGCCCTCTTTTGATAGCTGTCAATTGATCACAACATTGATGTGCAGCCTGTGCAATTAGTTTTCTCTTGGGCTCCCAAACTAGCTAAAAGTGTGAGAGTAAACATTGGTTTTCCTGTGGTGCGGACGGACGGCGGGCGGTCGGTGTACGGTCACGTGATTACCAAATTTTCTGGGATGGGTAGATTTACTTAGCAATGGGGCTCCGCCCACGCGCGCGCGCTTCGCGCGCGCGTGGAGCTCCGCTATTAACTTGTTACAGTCATTGGCATGAAATCAATAACGTCTTCTCGTAAAAATGTCTGTGAATGCCCGCTTAATACGAACACACGGATAATACGGGCAATACGGCATTGATCTCCTTCGTGTTCGTATTAACTGGGTTCCACTGTATTAGGAATTTTGTGATTTCAAAAAGTGGTTGCATATTCAGGAGGCACTTACTTCGGCTTTTATTAATTCATTGCTAACAATAATAACAGTACCGTCATTGAACTTACTGAAAGAGTTCGCAACTTTTAAAAATTGACTTAAACATAGCGTGGCAATTTCTAGGACGTTTAGCACGAGATATGAGGCCTTTACTGCCCCGATGCATTTCAACATCTTGTCCAAATGAGGATTACATGTACACCACCAAATCTACATCTGAATCTTTTTTTAGCACCGTCATTACTTTGATAAGCTGGGACGCGAAATTTGTTCTCGTTAAGAGTCAGTGATAAGTTAGCGAAGACCATAGTATAGCCTTGAGATAGTGATGATTCATCAAGTGGACTTACTCAAAGAAACTTGACTTTCATTTCTCGAGGTTAACGCGAAAAGGTTACCCAATTTTTTGGATCCAAGAGGACTTCAACTATGTTTGGAAAATCGAGTTTCATCGTTATTGTTTTTATCCTTCTTTCAAGCAATTTTGCTGAAGGCAAACCTCAAAGTTCCGATTTGAAAAAGTCACCGGCGCTTACAGTTTACAAAAAGCCTCAACCGATCGATCAAACATTTAACATCAACAACTGGGGCCTGGGAAAAGCTGATCGAAAACTGCCAACCGAGATGAAGTACAAAATTGACTACCTGTACCAGAAATCGACAAGCGCTAAAGGTATAAACTCTTGCAATTGAATCAAACTTTCAGTTAATTAAAAGAGCGACTAATTGTTTGCGGCTTATTATTAGAGCGACTTACTGTTTGAAGCTTATTAATGAAATGGAAATTTTTCTTACCTTCAGTTTGTCCGCAAGATGGTTGGGTTTACTACGGCAACTTCGGCTACCTCATCATTGACATTCGAACCCTGAAATGGAGCGATGCTCGACGAACATGTCAGATGCTTGGAGGAGATCTCGCTATAATTAAATCTGAGGCTGAGAATAACTTCACATTCACCTTTCTAAAGAAATAGAAAACAGTCACAAGTTTGGGTGTGGGGCTTGGTTTTGTCCACAAGGCAGACAACAAGTTCTACTGGATTGATGACACACCACTAGCGAAAGGTTACACGGCTTGGGCAGGCGGAGAACAAAACAATCTTGGTGGCAATGAAAAGTGTGGAAACATGTTTGGCTCGGCAGGAGGCAAGTGGAACGACTTATTTTGCGATGTCGATCCAGCAAAGCATTTGAAGATCGCGCCAGTTATTCTTTGTAAGAAAAATGCAAAATAAGTGACTTGCGTCCTTAAGTCCTTTAAGACAGCGTAAATAATGAGAGTCTTTGTTGTAATGCAATTTATCAAAGTAAATAGGATATAAATCAAAGCTAACGATTTTGGGCAAGGATGAGGTGCGCACTTCTTGTAGTGGGAATTGTTCGTCGAATGAAGCAGATTAAGATTGAAAATAGATTAATCAAAATAAAAAAGAAGATTACACTTAAAAATTGCTGTCCTCTTGTTTATGATCTTTATTTGCTACTTTTACTAATGGATCGTGTGTCTTTCAGTTGAAGGTAGACAACTATTTCTAGACATAATAGGATAATAGGGATCTCAGGCTAGCATGATTATAAACTCGAGTTGCCAACTACAATAAGCGCCCAGAAAATAATAAATATACAATAAATAAACGAAAAAAAGCTTGTTTCTTACAACACAAAAATGTTTTGATAGTTTGACCACCTGCCACGAATCAAACTTGAGAAAAGTGTCAGCAATGTATAGGCTTAGTGTCCTACTGTTGTTTTTCTTGTGAGGAGCCTTTTCATCCAAATGCTGCTATTTCTACGAAGTAGGCTTCACAGGTGACGTCATATCTGATTACCGTATATGGGCTAATGAACTCCCGGGGAGTCCATTTAATTTTACGGGTCCAAGTAGTCTCCCTCGTAGCCGTTTTTAGTAACGTCACGCAACGCTCCTCGGCGTTGCGTGACGACATTTAAACGGCTGGGAGGAGACTTGGGTCCAAGCAAAGGTGTTTAATAGGTAGGAGGCGTTAAAAAAGAGAAACGCCTTTATTCTCATAAATTCAACAAGGTCAAGAAAGCTAATATACTTTCTGTGAAAACATCAAGAGAGTTTCAAATTTAGCGGGATATCCACTCTATCAATTGATACGTGTAGAGATCCACATCTCTCTTTCAAATCGCAACAGTAATTGATGTCAGAATCCTTCCTTGTGTTGTCATCGTTGGTCTATCCTTACTTTGAACTTAACATTGAACAAGATGAAATATGCAAAGCCTCGTTAATCAAGTAAGAAACTGAATGATTTTGCTCCTATTTCTGTTTCCTTGTATTTCGGGGTAATTCTCATGGGGGGAGGGGGGCGTCAATTAGACAGGGAGTGTTTATTAGAGAGGGGCGTCTAATACAACTTTAAAAGCGTAGAGGGGGGTGCTTATTAGATAAGAGGCGTTTATTTGGGCGTAGGCGCTTATTAGATCATTTATGGTACACAGAAGACCTCGTTCCCAGGGTCCTTTCACCGAGAGCTAGTAACTAGTGATTGACATAACGAACGCGCATTCAAGACCTGCGTACAGGTGTTTTCCGGTGGGGGAGGGGGGTTGTATCGCACTGTAATCCCTTTGGTTTTTGCTGCACTAGCCACATGACGTTTTTCTCCTCCTCCCCCCTCATCTCTCCTGACCGAATCTGCCTCTACTTTTAACATAGAAAATGCCGACAGCTAGCGGCGGGAAAAACTGAGCGCTTGGGTGCACGAAAACATACGCCTGCACTGCAGACTATGATGCACTGATCTCGGCTTTCATCTCATAAAGGTTTCCTCCGCCTTCGTGGGTTTCTTTTGGTTCTCTGCCGCTTTTCAAATTAACACTCAAGTCTCACTAGACCCCTGTGTAAGTTTTGGTGAGTTCAGATCTTACTGACGATTTCTTTGGGGAACTACTTCAAGCGTTTGCAACTGTTCGACTGGTTTGAACTTGGGAACGCACCATCTCCATCGGGCTCCTGAGTTTCAGACAATTACTACATAGAAATCTCTCGCAGTCAAACAGTGGCTTGTTTCAGCGCTCTTTTTTCTTGCAAAGCCTGCAAGTGCTCTCACCACAATCGGCACTTTGTTGAACAGTGAGAAGACTGAGTAAGCTATTCGGCAACTGATGAAATCTGTTTCCCTCGTGCAGGAATGGCAATTTGTGGAAGATAGGATTAACTCAGAGTCGCTAGAGCTAGAGATCATCCTGGATTTTCCAGTTAGCTTTAAGGTCTCGGTAAAGGAAAACGAGGTGCCCACAGAAAAAAATTCTAGTCGCGCGAGTATTTTCGCTACAAAGGCAAGTTATATATCAAAATAAAGCTAAAAGACTAAATTACCTTATTACCCTAAAGCCAGTGTACAGGAAAGTCACAAGATGATAACAAAAAGAAAGGCAAGAGGAAACAGTAAACATTGCTTTTCGTTAAACGTGTTTCACCAGTTGAGCCTTAGATGAAGAATACCCTCACAAGTGAAAGGCGCTTGACTGGCCTCTTACTACTGTTGAGAATCAATCAATGGGTGAGAAACGGCGATAGGTGAACTCATTTTCAATCTCAGAGTCAAGGAAGGAAATATTACCGCCATCAGTTACAGGTGATTTTAACATGGCCAGGTCGTACCAGCGGACCCTTCGTGGCTAGAAAGGCAGATGAATATTCTGGCAGTTAAAATTGAAGATAGACTCTTGTGTTTGATTCTACTGCCGCATATAAAACCTTTTAACAGAGAATGCTAACGAATAACACTTGACTTTCACTGGAAACTTGTCTAAAGGCGATTCACCACTTTATAAACGAGAAGGGGACTGGAACCGAAACGAGTCCCGCTATTGGTTCTGGGATCGTAAGAATCGGTCAGCGATTGGCCAATATTTTCCCCTGTCCCTGCTAACAGTCCCAGAAACCTTTGCGAAAGTTAACTGGGCCCAGTTTCCTCGTTCCAAAAGTGACAAATGCAGCTTACAAATCACGGCAAACGGTTGAAAGGTTTACGTTATATTCTTGAACTTATATTGACCGCTTTCCACAAAATAGTGTCACAGGTTATTACTGCTTTTCAGTTTCACACAATCTTCAGTTTGCAACAGGGACTGGTATGAATTAACAATGAAAGGTGAAAAACTGACTAACCTTTAAACTCGCCTTTAAATTCACCAATCTTTGCCTTAAGCATTGTTAACAGAACCAGCAGAGAAATAATAGTGGCTCCACCGGTGACAAATACCATAACTTCTCTGTAGTACAGATCACATTTAGGGCAACATGCTCTGAAAAGAACCATGGAGCTAATTGATTAAATCGACTTTGAACAATTAAAGGGGTTATTGTCACGCTATTTGCTACTTAATAAAAAGTTAAAACGCGTCTTCTCATGAACTAAATTCTCAAACAATGGTCCAGTTTTGTCATTTAAAACTCTATTAACCGTAAATCCTCTACTAAGCCCTCCCGGGGGGCTTATATTTTTTCAAGCACTTTTGAGCGTATATAAAGTGTAAGCTTGAGTATAAGGAAAAACAACTGCTTTATTCCCTGTGGATAGAGATTAATCCGGTGGGTAATGCTATCAATACCCTGGGTACCGAGAGGGTTCCTTTTAACTCTCTTTCGCTTTGCGGACAACGGAATTGACGGGTGAGGGCGACCTCGCAGCTGAGGCATGGACATGTGTTTCCATGTTCGCGCCTCAGGCCTTTTTAAGAGGGAAATATATATCCGTAGCAAGAGTTTCCAAACGCTTTTGTTTCATGTAGTCAGGACATGCAGTCAGGGGATCCCCAATAGGGGTTCTTCAATCCCGTGACCCCGACCCAATACAAATCCCGTAGTTCCGATGGTTATTTTTGTTATCCCGCATCCAGTGCATACTTTCAAACCCGATTTTGCCTTCAAACACCGAATCCCGGCCTTCAAATAAGGAAACCAGTCCCTCAACCCGTAACACCTATACCTATCACACCTATTGGAGAACTTATTGTCCCTGTCGATACGTATACTCTACTTTTGAATAGGCGATTGACTTTGTTATATGCTGTTGCAAACCTTCGTTCTGTCGTTGGATAGCATTTGTGTTATGTCAGATCAAGGTTCATGTTTATTTTGAAACTCGAATGATAATGATTGATATCTTTACGATTATCTCTCTTCACAACGTTTGAAAGTACTGCAGCTCATATTAAATAACATCTAAGAGCACTGTTTATACTAAATGCGAGGATTTTTGCGGATTACTGGTGCACAGAACACCAACACAGCGTAAGCTGAGTAAGCCATGGGGCTTGCCTTAATAATTTGTACGGTATCTTTATATCAAAAGGCTGGTCTTACATCTTAAAGGACAAAAAATAGACAACAACTTGAAGTTTTAACAAAAACATTCTAGCATAGTATAGATCGAAACAAGCTTATATCAAGTTGAAAACTAATTGGGTGATTTATAAACTTTTTTTGAAACCAGTGATTGTGGTGAAAAGCAAGTTATAGGGGAAAAATATTTAAAAACGTGCCTGATCTGAATAAGACAATGTAAGGCGTGGTTAAAGCTCTACTTGACCAGACGAGTAAGATGCATGTACCATGCGTGATGATGCTCGTCATCCTGTACGTCGGTTTTCATTACTACACTGAGGACTAAATATACTGACGTCCCATCCAGGACGACTACACCTCCACGGAAGTAATAGCAAGATCGAAAATTTACTTAGCGAAAACACTACAAGCTCGTCGGGAACACAAGGGGGTGGGGGCCCAGGAAAATAGGGAGCAGAAGGGGTACGGGAGTAGGGAGAGTGGAGGGTGGGGGGTGAGGGTTCTTAAAGGGTTGGAAGAGGGCCGAAATAGAATAGGGCTTCCGTTCACAGCGCCGACCTTGAAAGTACAATGTCTAATATCGGATAGGTTTCTGTGACACTCTTTGGCAAGTGTGAACCGCACATTAGTGGGTAACACTTCATTCATTAGCAGGATGTGTTCAAGCATGATCCAGGATTCGATAATCGCCAAAATAGCTGAAACTTTCTTTTGTTTAATCGATTGCCTCTACAACATTACCCATAGGTGTATCATTTTTTCTTTTCATGTCCTCCCAAATTTCACTCGTTTTTAGTTGTATTGAATAGGTAAACAGAAAAATCGCTCAGGGGTCTCCAAAGACAGCCGTTATATAATTAGTTCTGAAACAATTAAACCGCCTATCATTTTGCTCCAAGAGAGCTGGTGAGTAACACAACAGCTCTGCCTTTTTGTTTTGACGTAAGCTAAAAAAGAAAACATCGGCTTGCTTTACTGGCACGAGCCTTAAACGGCATCTTTTTTTTTTCTTTCTTTTTAGGTCCCCGCACATTCCAAAGGTCTTGGCTGTTTTCCCATAAAGAGTCTTACAAACATATTTTCACTCCTTAAAACACACGCACATTCGCCTATTAGCATGAAGCCTTGCTACACAAAGAAAATAATTACGAAATAAATTCGTCGTGTACAGTGATTAACAACCGCAGAAACTAAAGAGGCCACTTTTAACAATCGTAATGATCTAGATACTCCGAAATAATAATATAATGTGATGATCAAATCAAGGTTCGTGATATTTTACGATTCAAACGGAAGTGATTGATACTGCGTGTTTACGATTAACTTTCTTCGTGACTTCAAAGTACTGCTAATAATGAATAAATTTTAAGCGCTAAGACCTTTAGGATTACCTGTACATTAAGCTACATTAAAGACCGACAAAGGGTAACCTTGATGATTATTAAAGAAGCTTTATAACACTAGGTTGGTCATATTGTATTCTTTTTACCTCTTTAGCAAAGAATTGACAACGAGCTTTAACAACAGTATTCCACATGATACTGGATTGAAACAGCTTATTAGGTTGAAGGTAGTTGAGTGATAATTTTTCGTTGAAACCAGGGCATGGCCAAAGCTCGACTTGTTCCCTACACTGAGGTACTATATTACCAGGTGTTAACCGTTACCATATCATGCATGTATGTCGCTTTTTATTGACACTTTGACGGAAGACTAAATAGTATAGATTGGCTTTCCACCTCGGATACCTTACAGAAGGTAATACCAAAATCGCAAATTTACGTAACAATGAAGCAAGAAGCTCACCACGCGTTTAACATGGGAGTTGTCAACGGAGAACCTTTTGTCGGAGAAATGTTCACCTCTGTGCCTTTTCACCGGTGAGAGCTGGACAGTTCCAAGATGGGATCTTGTTTGTTGTTGACTCAAAGTACGAACAAAATTATATAGCATGTAGATTTAGCCAAGAATAAAAGCGAAAATCCCGTCAATAAATTTATAGTTTACTTCAAACAATAAACTATTGTAGAGAAATTCACTTATCAATTCTTAACTTTAGGAGAGAACCATGTGACTTTTGAGGGAGAGCCTCGGTGATTTTAGAGAAATAATAATCTGCACACAGCAACTTATATCGAGTTTACTGTTATGTTAAGTGTACACCCAAAAATGGGAAATTACCTTCGATCAGACTAGTAGGATAGGAAACTGGGGACACTTCATTAGCTCGGGCGAGCCCTCAAGGATGTTTCGTAATTTGTTAATCGTTTTTGCAGCTGCAGTTATCCTTAGTTTTGGTGGTTCGTCACAAGGAACACCTACCAACCTCAACGTGAAATCACCTGGTGATGATCAGCGACCCCAACAAGTTAATAACATCCAAAATCAGATCAACAACTGGGGTCTAGGAAACGATGACCGCAAAATGTTGATGGAGATGAAATACAAGATCGACTCTTTGCATAAAAAATCGACATCTAGAGGTAATTCGAGGTTTATCTGTGTTTCTATTCTTCAGAAGTTACTTTTTGTAACGGCCTAGGGATTTCGCGAATTGAAGTCATGGTATTAAAGCACAGGGAAATTTATGCTTATACTGGTAAAGGTATTTTAAGGGTGTTGAAAGGGCCGTTTTAATCAAAACTTCATTCATACTATAGGAAGATTCGTCGATTTAGTGCTCTTCAGAAGTAGGACAAAATGGGTACCATTTTGCTGTGAAACGTACATACCTGTATACGAAAAAGGGCGGGGTATCTATTCTGTAAACATGATGAAAGAAAGGGGGAATGAGTTGGACCTCTAGGCGGAGCCTCTCCAGGTAAATCTTTGCTGAGCACTCCCCCGGGTTTTTTCAATGGGAAGTGATGTGTTTAATCAAGGATTCTCTTATAAAAACTTGCCAAACTATGTCTCGTAAACTTGTAAAGCAAAATGTGTCTAACTGAATTCCTTTTTTTAACAGTTTGCCCTGAAGACGGTTGGGTTAGTTTTGCCAATAACAGCTATCTCATTATTGACATCCCAACCTTAAATTGGTCTCATGCTCGAAGAATATGCCAGATGATCGGAGGAGATCTCGCTATAATCAGATCTGCAGCTGAAAATGCCTTTATATTCAAACTGGTAATAAAACAGTCAACAGTCCAGGATTGGGGGGTCTGGATGGGATTCGTATGCAAAGCCGACAATAAGTTTTATTGGATAGATGGCACTGCAATAGCAAATGGTTACACGGCTTGGGGGAGGGGCGAGCCGAACAGCGTGCAAGAAAAGTGTGGAAACATGTTCGGTAAAGGAGGTCGGGCAGGAAAGTGGAACGACATATCATGCTCTGTTGTTTCAGACAACCTGAAGTATACCCCAGTTATACTTTGCAAGAAAAAAGCAAACTAAGTGAAAAACTTTCAAAACAGATTAAAAAGGCCAAATGTCAACCGAAAAGAAAAGTCCAATTGATTTGAGGCGCCTTTCTAAGTAAAGCTAATGAAGAACGTAAGTGACACAAAAGCAGATCAAAACTGACAAGTCTTTAGATCAGCTGATTAATTAACATAAGGATCTGCAGTCTCTTCTTTTAATGTATATGGATTCTCTGCTGGTTTACAGCAAAAATAAAGAAAAAAAACTAAACAAAACAAAGTCGTCACAAGTCCGGATGGTAGTGGTAATGAAACTTGTGGAAACATGTTTTTGGCAGACCCGGCAAATGGAATGACCTACCATGCAGTCTCCCAGCAAAATATTTGAAGTACCCCTCAGTTATTCTTTGCAAGAAAAAGCAAACTAAGAGTCTTACGTCCTTAAAGTTCGCTTATAAAGGCGTCGTTATTCAGCGTTATTCAATGAGCATTCATTTCAGTGATTAGTGCAACTTAATAAATAAAATAAATAATAAATGATGATTTGGAACTAGTACATCCACAAAGTGGTTTCTCGTCTACCTGATTCCTTGTCGAAATGAAATTTGGAAATGTTTTTGAGCTCGGGCCAAACAGGCGATTTGCATGATGGCGTCATTTTACTAATATAACCAGAATCTTTTTCGTTTTTTCTTTCATATTTAAATTCGGTTATCCCAGCGAGGATTAAATAATAAAAGCCCTAATTTGCTCAAGAAAACAAAATTCTGAAGGATTCTAGCCGTGGTGGTAAAATGACGTCATCGTGCAAATGCCCTATTTATGTGAGGCGAGCACCACTGCGCCATCCCTTGCCCCCAAACTTTTAGTAACGCTATAAAATTTTGGTGTGTTTCTTTACTAAAATCCAATTAGGTGAGATCATGAATCGAAGTTTAAGGATTATTACTGAGTTAAGAAAGGAAATAATGTGCCTTAAGATCAGACAGGGGCACCCAACGAGGAGATAGTTCAAAACCACTTAACATAGCATTATCGAACGTATTTTAGTATTCAAACGGTAGATATAGTCATATTTTTATCCCCTAAAAACTTTTCATCTGTTCGGATTTCCTAGCTAAAAGTCTAGTGATCCGAAGATTATAGGGATAAAAACTTACCTTCTCGAAAATTTCAGCCAGGAAAAGGTTCCCGAAAATTCTAGGTGGCCTTTTTTAGGGTCAAAATCCGTTAAAAATGGGTAATTATACCATTTTGTAGATGTCCGAAAATCCTAGGAGAGGCAGGCAAGCAAGAAATTTTACAACAAATGCTCCGGAAATTCTAGATCTCAAATCGTCTTCCGAACAGATATTTTCCCGAAAATTGCCGTTGGGTGCCCATGATCAGATGGATCATCTACCATTGAATCAGTCTTTCCATAGCTACGGACAGCAATATCAACAAAATCCAAGCGAAAAACAACAAAGTCGCTGAGAATGTACCCTTCGTAAAAGTCGCTTTAGTGTCGCTTTCGTTTTCCTTAAGCCAAGCGTGAGATTATGCGAAAGGGGCGCGCGGTTAAAGGAGCAGATTCAAAAGAGCGGGGAAGGGATGGAGAGGGCTATTGTTTTGCTGCTTTTTGCCCAACGCCCTGGCGAGTCTTTCGTGCTTTCCACACTTGGAAAACTACTGCTACGTAGCCTACTGATAATGCTGCGATTTTCCTGGTCTTTCATAGAACTTCAAGGTGATAAGCTAAATGAAACAGCCATCTTAGGAGATGAGTCTTGCGGCAATTATGATACATACCGGAAGAGTAATGTCATAGAGTAAGGAGCGCCAGTGGAGTTTAATATTTAGAGGAATGTGAGTAATGTTTCTCCTGTCACTTAACCCTTTGACCCCTCTACATTTAAATTCTCATTTGTTGTCCGCGTACTTTTCTTATAGAGGTAGTGAAGAGAATTTGTTCAAGTATCAAGAATATAATTCACCTTTTGTGATTTAATTCCCAGGACGACTGTGTTTTTAAAATAAGGCGAAATTTTAAGCTGATCACTCTTGTAGGGCCTATCGGGTTAACATGACTCCCGCTCTGAGAAAACTGATAAAACCGATTGCTTAGTACATGCTTTGCTTTGCAAACTTACCATAGAGATGGGTAAAGAAAGTCGAATAGATCTATCTATGTATTGAAATTGTTGCGACTTACCGCTGGCTATAATAGCAAATGCCAAAAGTACAATATTAATTTTCAAATCATAAGCGAATAAGTGAGATATACCCTAAATCAGCGGATAAGGCAGGAAAAGCTTCAGATCAAAGAGCCAAATCATCTGGATTTTGGTATCAGATTCAAAACCTCCACCTCCGGCATGGCCGGATCAATTGGATCAATCAGATCCGTTCCTGGTTTTTAATAAAGAGACGAAATATCCGTTTTTAAATTAAATAATCCGAACTTGGGACTTAGAAAGATGCAAAATTGATTGAAAGGTACTGGATGAGGAAGCCCACTTCTTGTAATGAAAACTGTTGGTAGAATTACGCTGGAATATAAATACAAATTAATAATAAAATGGCGGTAAAATATCAAAATAAAAATCTTCCCATCGTACCATTTTCTCTTTTGAAGGTTTGAATTCGCTTTGTTCGTAACGAGTGAAAACTGGGAACAATATGCGACCACAGAGCTTCTTGGGATTGTTTGGAAGGACATCATGAAGGTCAACAAACATGGCGCGCTGCAAGTGCTGTGTTCTTAGCTGCAGTAATAGTTTCAGACATTCAAATAAATTTTTACTTTTACAGAATCCCTTAAGACCCTCATGCACCAGTTTTGTGTGTCCTCTTTTCTTTAGTCAGAATAACCTTTTGTGCGTCTTTAACAGGTGGCTTGTAGCTGTTCGCTATCTTTTTGCTGCCCCCCTAAACGATCCGCTAGAGCCAATGTGGTCATAAGTCGTACCAATTCTTCGCTCGTTTACAACACGGCCAATTTCAGTTAGAATGTTTACTGTCCGCTTCTAGTAATACTTGTTTACAGCTTGCCACCGCCAGCTTACCGCGCATGAGCAAAAATGGAAGCTAGACAGCCACTTCAAGAGTAAACAACCTTAGTTAACTGGGACAGTACAGGGACCGGATGCACAGAAAATGAACGACCATGAACACAGGCCGTCTACTCTATGAAGGAGGTGTGAAAGCAAAACATAATGAAACAAGACGCCTAAAGTCGTTTCCGTGGGATACGTTGGTCTATGGAAGCATAATGGCGTTCTATCTGAATTTGGAAAAATTAGGGAAACCGGAAAGATGTGTCATGTTATGAGCATCGATGAGTAGGTTACCTGTATGGGTTGATTTAATGTACTTATGACTGAATTTATAGTAGCCTGCGTGGCAAGCTACTATTTCTCCCCAATCCACATCCCCTTTTCGCTTCCTCCCTATCTCCTACCCCTTTCGACACCTGCTACGCAAGCTAAATTTATTGTTGTCGGTGGTCGAAAGGATGGAGTTGATCTTGTTTTGATCTATCGCTATGTAGTTATTTTCGTAGCACGATTTGGATAAGAAATAGAAGTTATTTTGCATCAAAACAAGGTTTACCCGTGTAACTTAAATTGGAATGTTAACGGAAACAGCTAATGGAGAAGATGCGCATAATGCTCTCTGATTAACCTGAACAGGAACTATATTTATAAAGATACGTCATCTCTTGGTAGTAAGTTGCCACAGGTAACTTTTTCAAAGAGAAATAAACATTGTAGTTTTAGGTTAATGGAACAAACAAAACAAAACATCTGCTTGCTTTATCCAGGATCGAACCCAGGGTTACAAGGTTCGATAAAGTTCCAATGTTTTAATCCAAGATGAAAGTTTAATATTCCAAGATGCTCTTGATACTGTTAAAAATTAATTGCAATGTGTTTCCAAGGTCTCAAAGTTAACATAGTTCCAATGATTACACCTGATTCCAAGGTATAATAAGTTTACTACGGTCCTGATCCGTGTCCCATCAAGAAGTGCAATCCATGCCGAAAGCGAGTCCTCGATCGACGAGGACAATATTTTCGCGATTTCACCGCCAATCGTAAAGGGTACGAGTTGAAATTTACGCGATTTAACCTCCCATCGTCAAGGTGTTTTCGATAAGAAAAGAAAAAACTGAACTCTAGCTGTGCTCGGCAAAAACTGGCGAACTCCGACTAGAAAAATCTATTGGAAATCACAGCCCGCAACCAGTCGCTACTAAAACCTTATGAAAAAGCTAGACCTAAACAAAAAAGAATCATGAAGGAAAGAAATAATTTGGCTTAGGTCGCCTTTCGTGACTTGCCAGTATCGATCAGTATCCCGAAGGATTTCGCTGGTTAACAAGCCGCCATCCTAAACCACGAGTGGGAAAACTCTAGCGCGACAAATTTGGCAAGGAACGTTCTGATTTCAACGTTCTTCAGAGGAAGCAAATCGATTAGAAATCGATACAGATTTTATACAGATTTTGTACAATCTGATTGGTCGGCTTGGAAGAAGAGATAATCGATAAAGATTTTACGCAATCCTATTGGCTGGCTTTGCAATTTTGGGTACAACCAAACCGGGTTTTTACCGTGGGAGTGCCACAGGCATCCCAGGGAATGACAATCAGTTCAGCCTTGAACCTGTAATTAATATAGAATTATCGGATAAATGGAAATCAGATAAGCCAAGTTTCATAAGACATCTCATTTGATCGGCTAAAAAAAAAAGAAAAGAGAAAGAGAAAGAGCAGGTTGACGCTCTGTCTAAGAAAGTTCTCAAACGTCGAAACTGTGAGAACTCTACATTTTTTGAGTGACGAGTATGATGACTTGACAGCTTCTATCTGTTTCTTGGCGCAGCTTAAGCAAATAACACACTGTCTAGATGTACTCAGTGGTCAAGTGGAACCCGATGCCGAGGAGTACAGTTACCAGTTCAGTGTAAAAATAATTGGTCTACCAGAGATAAATTCTAATGAAACTGCGCCTGAAACAAGCTCTTTTTGCGTCAAACTCTTTCAGGAAA